CTTTCTCTTCTTTTTTTTTAAAATGAGCAATGTATTCCAGTGATTTAATGTAGTTTTAATGAGTTTACCATGACAATTATAAATATATCTTATAGTAGTTTAATCATTGAATTCATGAATTCGTTGAAGATAGACTATTATAAGAAAACTTGAAAGTATTAGACAACCATTTCGTCCTTGTATGAAACTTCTGAATAGTGTTTATTCATGATTCTGATCGCCGGGTTCGAATGCAGGGCTTTCAGTCTTGCACACGAATACGTCACCTCTAGATCACTGATCCGGTATCTATTGGTGTTAATGTCTAACTTCAACTAATACATGAAATTATGTCACCGTTCATTATTATACATAGGTTCAAGGTTCGAATCCCGAAAGGCGGTATCGTGGATACACACTCCTGAGAAGTCCCATATTATAAGGACGAAACGGTCATCCTATGCTTCAAGGCTTTTTATGATGGTCTAGCTTTAATTGACTCATGAATTCATTGATCAAGTTGCTAAAATCTCCACAAACTCCCCTTCTGATAACATGATATAACTGTTAGTAATTAAAACCAAATAAAGAAAATATTTGTCTGTTTGTATATTAATGGTGTCTCATTTCTAAATAGGTTTCTTTTAAGTTGAATACATAATTAGTGATAGAATTAGTCATTAGCCTTTTATGATTTACTGTAAATTACTTAGCATAATGAGACATTTACATAATTGGAAGATACTACATTCAAAACTATAATCAATTAACCTAAATAGGTCACTAATGAAATTTTTGATTAGAGTATTGGATGACATGGGTTCGAACATAATCTCCTTTCTTTCCTTCCTTCTTTATTTACTTATTTACTTACGCCTGTTACCGCTTGTTGAGGAGTATAGACCGCCCATATATTCTTACTTAGGATTACCAATATAACTTATTTACTCTGCTTTGAACTATACTACTTATATGACAAGTAGTTATCATTTTTGATGAAGTAGAGTATAAATTTAAAACTTGAGCAGCTTAATCGTTTAATCATCATTCTACTTCAAAGTTTATCATTATCTCAGAAAGTAAAGGATTGAGTAAATGAAACTTATCAGACGATTCAACTTGGAAATTCATTATATTATATGCTTAATAGAGCTTCTAAATGTTTGTTTATTACAATCATAACCAATGGTTCGAGATTCTGTGTGACATGACTCAGTATCGATCACAATAGTGTAGGTGTATACACTATTTTTATCAGAATGGGTTTTGTGGAGATTTTAGAAATTGGATGCCGTCTCAGTAGTCTAATGGTTAAGTGCTCGCGCGCGAAGCCAGTAGGTCCTGCGTTCGAGCCCCGGGTGGTGCGGGGTCGTCAATGCACAATGCTGAGAAGTCCCATACTAGGACGAAACGGCCGTCCAGTGCTTCCAGATTTTCAATGGTGGTCTAGCTTCAGCTGACTCATGATTTCAATCTGTATACACTATTTGTTTTCCCTTACACTATGAGATTAAAATCGCTTTACATCTTTCTTTCTACGTACTAATTCGTTCTTCCTGTACGATGTCCTTATACACAATCTTTCTTTTATATATTTTCACCATTGAATTAACTACTTCTATGAAGTATGGCAACTTGAACTGATGCATATATGTGCCTGGTCCTACGTTGTAGCTGACTAACTGAGAAGCTTTACAACATTTTGACCTAAAATTGACCAATCAAACTTTAAACTATTTATGTTGAACTGATGTCAGATTGTAGTGCCGTTTGTAAGGTCAGTTATCTTAGCATTAAAGAGTCTCAGTCAATTACCCAGTATTATAATAATTATTTATTTATTGGTGACTAGGTATAAGAAGAACTGATGGTATATCATGGATGAAATGGTTATCACTGGGGGGGGAGGGGAGCATTGAAATGACCATGATTTCATTTCATGTCATGACTTAATTTAAAAATATAGCTAATTGATTTCATCCTAGTATATACAATGTGAGAATTGAAATGAATTCGGTCCTTTATATGTTCATAGTTATGTATTGCTGAATGGTTTAGAACTATGATGAAACAGCTTTCTAGTGAATCTTAATTTTGATTATACAGTAATTTCAATGAAGTAAATAGATTTTCAACAACAAAACAAAACTGAACATGAATACATTTCTATAAGTAAAGATGGTTACTGGTTAACGGTGGAATTCAACATGGGTGTTTCGTCCTATTTGTGATTCGTCAATTGGATTTACTTGTATACAATCAAACAACATTTAGTGAATGAATACATCTTATTTAAATGTGATCAACATATGATAGATGAATAATTAATACTGATTAATTTATAATTTGTTTTAATAAACAGATGTAAAATGTGGATCAGAAAAAAGAACCCTGAAATATGATCTATCATATGAATGATGAGAACAGGATTAATGAAAACGAAACGATCAGTATCCTATTGAAGAATGAAGTCAAATTGAACAGATGATATGGTTAATGTGATTGATGTATGTTGACAAGACAATTAGAATATGACAATAGTAATTAGGTGCTTGGATGTCATCGAAAGAAAACTCTAGATCTGAGTTTTGTAGTATTTAGCACTCGTCAACAATGTGTACTTGCGATTCGAAGGGAGCTGATGATCTGTGAAAGATTCACTTCTATATCATCAAGCTTCACATTCTAAGATGTTATCACTGAAATATTTGGACCTTGATTGATCCTCTGTAACGCTAGATATTTAGAACTGATTATTCGATGAGTAGTGACCGAAGTCGTGTATGTCAAGCCCTTGGTACTGACTGAATTCTGTCAGACAAGTTGAAATATGGCTATTAGCCTAGATGACCCGATATTCCATGCACTATGTTGTGATGGTTTGGTTATTAGAGAAAGTCAACAGAAGACAGTGGACCTAGGTTACGTGTTGACGACGATAAGTGGTAGCTTGTACAGCTCAGTAGTAACGTCAAAGACTGTGATATGGGTCCAAACCTTCCAAGTAACATAATTTCCCTGATCAATATAGGTACACATTGTTGACAACTGCCAAACTGCAACATTTGGGTCTAGATTTTCCTGTCGACTACCTCCAATCGCCTAGTATTTCATCGATATCCATGCAATGTCTAATCATTTAGACTAGTGGCTACATTGCAACTTGACTGATTTGATTAGATCAGCATTACTAAAGAATTTGACAATTGTCACATTGACCATCACTCAGTGATCAATCAACTGAAATTAATTCGCAAATTAGATCTGATCAAATATTTGTTTTAAGCATCAATTGTATTATGATATATAATTGTGAGTTGGAATCCTCAAGGCCAAATAAAGAGAGGAACACCAAAGAACACATTACGCCGAGAAATGGAGACGGACGTGAAAAGAACGAACAACAATTGTATAGAACTAGAAAGAAAGGCTCAGGACAGGGTGGGTTGAAGAATGCTGGTTGGACTTCTATGTTCCATTAAGAGTAACAGGCGTAAATCCCAAATCCAAATAAATCGTTATAATTCGATATCGGGGGGGGTAATTTATATTGTCATTAAATGTTTGAATTGAATGGATCCTTAAACTATACAGAACTTGTATAGATAATCACTCAGCTAAATAGTATTCTTGTGTTCATCAGTGATTAACCTTTAAGATGGATTTCATGAAGTTTACTTATGAAGTCTACCACATTGTAATTGAGAGAGTTACTCATCTCTGGCACAGGATGATGGCCACATATTGCTGTATATCTATACTGATGTGGCATAATATAAGTCATGAAATTCTGACACATATCTTACTAGCTATGAGACCGAAAGGTTTTGTTTGTTCATTCGTTCTCACTTCTATAAAGTTTTAAACTGGTTGTAAACTAGTTCATAGTCTATGATCAAAGTTATTTTCAAACGTTTAAAGTTAAATAACTCTTAATGATCTGTTTGTTATAACTTATGCCCTGTATCCTATCAATATTATAACGTAATGATACCGCCAATTAGATAACAGTGATTTATCGACCGGATAAAATGACGGATCAAAGAAGTACGAGCAGTCTACAGTACTTATCGGTACTTCTCTCTGCCTAACATTGCCTGTTAAGTCCAGAACACCACTATCAGCCTCCACAATACGAATCATTATATTTCAAACATACTGGGTTTATATACGAAACAATCAGATCACATCGTACCATAAAACAGGAAACAACATTTGTACAAGAATTAGCCAAATGTGGTTGTGTATGTAGGAGACTGTAATGAATAGACTTGGCATAAATCAAGAATGGTAAATCGTATAATAATCATCTATGGATCAAAATAAAGCTTACAATAAGAGGAATATGAATATGCATAGTTTAGTTACTTAACAAAATATACCTAAATATTAGTCTACAAATAAATCTTAAAAGTTACCATTTATTATTCTCATTAGGATACAATACTGTTACTTATATCTATCAGTATCTTTGGTATCCTAGAAATTTATTCATTCAAATCAACCTAACTACTGATATTATATATACTACTTATAAGTTCAATAATATCAATCAACAAAAAGAAAAAAAATAATCAATATTGATTACATTGTGTTGTGTAATAAAACAGGTCGCATTATAAATGATCAAAATAGTGGAGTATAATTTCATGATAGGAAGAAAAGTCAGAATTCGATTGATTTAGTGATTATTTTATGTATAGTAATGTTAATAACAATAATAAGAAACTCAGCCTGAAGTCCCTCAGAAGGAGGGTTGAGCATGGGGTTAGCGATCCCATTCCGTAGAAAACTAACTCGCTCAAAAAACGCTAACCAGAAAAAAATTATTCAAACCACTTAAACTCTGCCCTGGAAGTTAGTAAATCTTCATTCGGAAGAGTTCTGACGCCTCATGATGAAAGCCGACTTCCTTTGAAAATCACAATACCGATGCTCCTTCTGACAACCAGATTAACCATTTATTTAGGTACATGGAAGTAACAATGATAAGAAAAAGGAAAGAATGATTATAGACTTACCTTTAAGTTCAGAATTGATTCCTTTAATCGATGGATTCATTCCATTATTCAATGGATTAGATTCATCTTTTTGTGTATTATATTCATTAGATATAGTTTTATTCAAATGAGATATCATTGAATGAGAATTAGATGATGATGATGATGTTTTAGTCTTTGATAGATCCATTGTATTCAATTGAATATCATTGGGTTTAACTATAGTTAAAGGAATTCTTGGTGTTTCTAATCCAGCTGTTTTACATGAGAAACCTTCTATTTTATTATGATGATGATGATGATTATCGTTATTATGGTATTATGGTATAATCCTAACCATGTTTCAGTTAGATTTGGTATTGTATATTCATAAAATAAATAACCTTGTTCAGTCATAACAGTACGACATTTAATAAGACTTAATTCATTATCATATGGACATTTATTAGGTATTTCACCGACACATGCAGATTGACAATTATGAAAACAAAATTTACCCCATGGAGCTATAGGACATTGAAAGAACATACTATAACCATTAAGTATATTATTATTATTATTATTGGATTCTAATTGTTTATTATTGAATGAATGAACTTCACAACGTATTATTAATGGTTGATTTAATTGTACTTGATTAGACGATGGATTAAAACTTATAGTTAATGGTGTATCTGATTCAATATCTAATGGTTTACTATAAATGATAATAATTCCATTTATCATTAGTAATAATAATGAAAGAATCATTTCTAAAATTGAATGTAATGAATTTGATCTTGAATGATACATCATGTTCTTCTTCTTCTTCTTCTTCTGGTTCTTCTTCGTAGAAACTGGGATACTTCAATTAGTTGTTCTTTGTTCTCTTATTATGTAAAGTATATGATGGATAAAATAAGGTATTTCATTGCATTTCATAAAGGACATAGTAACTAAATTATATTTTAGTTATTCCATTAGTAATTTGTTTCTATGTAAAACCAAAAAAAAATTTTTTTTCTGTAATAAACTAAGAGAACAGACGACAATTTTGTATTTTAGATCCAGGACATACGATTTAAAAAAATCATCGCTTTCTCCAGAAAAGTTATTCACATGTTGTTCACACTACACTAAATGATAATCATTAAAAAATGATAATCAGAAACAGAGTCTTTTCTTTCTTTGGAAACCCACCTCTCCCCCAAAGAAACCTTACTACACCATACTACAGCACAGCACAGCACACGCATACACGCACAGGCACACACACACATCAGTGTCATCACCAATACCAACCACTATCCATCTCTGCTTATAATGCTTGTAAACTAAGGCAATATCGAGGCATACGCACAGTATGCACATATGCCAATAAGAGACTGATCAACTTCAGTCCTAAAACATCAATGGGAAGATTCAAATAAAACAATATCAAGTGAATTAAACTTCAGCCCATTGCACAAGCAAGTGGCTATCAGGACTCAGTAGCTAAGTGGATAACGCGATGGCGTTTGAAGCGAACGGTACTGAGTTCGAGTCCCAGAGTGAACATCAACTCTGAGATGCAGGTACATCCAGCTGACGAGTCCCAAACAGGACGAAACGCGCGTCCTGGATTCCACTGCTAGCCACTATCCATCTCTGCTTATAATGCTTGTAAACTAAGGCAATATCGAGGCATACGCACAGTATGCACATATGCCAATAAGAGACTGATCAACTTCAGTCCTAAAACATCAATGGGAAGATTCAAATAAAACAATATCAAGTGAATTAAACTTCAGCCCATTGCACAAGCAAGTGGCTATCAGGACTCAGTAGCTAAGTGGATAACGCGATGGCGTTTGAAGCGAACGGTACTGAGTTCGAGTCCCAGAGTGAACATCAACTCTGAGATGCAGGTACATCCAGCTGACGAGTCCCAAACAGGACGAAACGCGCGTCCTGGATTCCACTGCTAGCCACTATCCATCTCTGCTTATAATGCTTGTAAACTAAGGCAATATCGAGGCATACGCACAGTATGCACATATGCCAATAAGAGACTGATCAACTTCAGTCCTAAAACATCAATGGGATGATTCAAATAAAACAATATCAAGTGAATTAAACTTCAGCCCATTGCACAAGCAAGTGGCTATCAGGACTCAGTAGCTAAGTGGATAACGCGATGGCGTTTGAAGCGAACGGTACTGAGTTCGAGTCCCAGAGTGAACATCAACTCTGAGATGCAGGTACATCCAGCTGACGAGTCCCAAACAGGACGAAACGCGCGTCCTGGATTCCACTGCTAGCCACTATCCATCTCTGCTTATAATGCTTGTAAACTAAGGCAATATCGAGGCATACGCACAGTATGCACATATGCCAATAAGAGACTGATCAACTTCAGTCCTAAAACATCAATGGGAAGATTCAAATAAAACAATATCAAGTGAATTAAACTTCAGCCCATTGCACAAGCAAGTGGCTATCAGGACTCAGTAGCTAAGTGGATAACGCGATGGCGTTTGAAGCGAACGGTACTGAGTTCGAGTCCCAGAGTGAACATCAACTCTGAGATGCAGGTACATCCAGCTGACGAGTCCCAAACAGGACGAAACGCGCGTCCTGGATTCCACTGCTAGCCACTATCCATCTCTGCTTATAATACCAACCATTATGTGCTTTAAAAATTAACCAATTAATTTGTAGGGTGGAAAAAATAGTGATGCGTGGGCGTCCGGTACAATATCATGGTAATATTAACATCAATGTGTTGAATGATTTATTTGATTATCACTTTTTGTTGTTGTTGTTGGTTAGACAGAATTTTCAATGTTCATCTTAATGAGGGATTATTTTTGTTTTAAAATCATTAAATGGATAAGGAATAATATCAAGAAATTGAAGTATTCAATGGAAGCATATTTCAATTGAATTTGAATATGAAGTGAAAAATTTTAAGTGAGAGTATAATTTATGGATGATGTGTTGAGCGATGTTAAGCGATAATCTTGAAATTGTCCACCTAATAACTAGGATGAAATGAACACCGATTACCACGATGTGCAATGTTGAATAGTGTACGGTATGGTTAGGAGAAACTTAGGGACGGCCAAACCAAAACATCTCATCAGTGGTTGGAGTCACCAACTTTTAGTTTGAGCCATGTTAGTAGATGCACACTACTTGGTTGGGATCTGCGTGACTAACCTGACCAATGATTGGAGACTCTCTGTGACGGCTCAGAATCGATCACAATGGTGTAGTTGTATACACTCTCTGTCTTCCCTTAAACTATGAGATTAAAATCGCTTCATATCTTTCTTTCTACCAAGTAATTCTCTCTTCCTGTACTATATCCTTATACACAATGTTTCTTTTATGTATTATTACCATCTTGTTGTTCTAACGAAGTATGTTAACCTGGATCAATGCATATATATGCCTGGTCCTACATTTTAGTTGATTGACTGACTGGCTGAGCTATAATGCTGAAACCCTATTTAACTAACTGCTTGATTGAATTTCGCGCTAGATGAGGTCGAAACTATACTTTATGGAAGGATCAATCAGATTTAGGATGATAGATTTCGGATTTGGGATCGAAATTCATTCGTCCATTTGGGTAAAGTGCATTTTGTCATTATAGTTGATGTCAGTAAGTGATGAAAAACCGTAAATCTAATTCCTAACTCTTAACCATCAACTGTAAATCATAATCCTTAGTCGTCATAAAGGTTTATAACTTTCATATTTAATCGCAGCAAGTAGAGTGAATATTCTCAAGGTCACTTTGGCGTTGCTCGAAGGTTGTCCATAAATTATAGTCTCACCTCTTTGTGATTTTAGTTTTTGTAGTGAACGAACACACAGGTGGGGACAATCAGGTTACTTTTAGTTCACACAGAAACTCTTGAAAAAAATATGAAAAAAATATATACAACATAAGACCAGATACATATATGCATTGGTCCAAGTTTGCCATACCTCATTACCACAACAAGATGAACACCGAGTCCATAGAATTAGTTACTTCAAAGTTTAGTCTTGAATGCTGTTAGAGGTATGAGGTCGGTTATCACTTTCTGGTTGCCCGTGGATGGGTTCTTCTAGAGGTACCTGAAGAGGAAATTGTATTAAAGGTGGTTTTAGTGACTTGAGAGCGTGAACACAGTGCCCAAGGAACAACTGCTTGAGGTCGGTCACAAATGACTATTTTTGAGATAGCTTAACACTTGTTAATATCATACCGCCGGATACGGAACCCAGTGGGATAAGGCGGAGTGTGCGTTTTTTAAGGTCGACTTTTTGTAACCTCACCCTTAATTGTGGGAAGGCAGCACCGCTGTTATAATGGTTGTCTGAAAGAAACACCTTACTACCGTCACATCACTGTATAGTTAGCAGTACGACTTCGCCTTGGGTTCGCTGCTTTCAGTCTTACTGTTTTTCAACCAATCTATCTGGCATGGCAGGACCTTGAGGAACGACTGTTCTACTCAGCTAAGCTCGATTGATTGATTACGGTTGGTGAGATAGGCCATCAAGTAAAAGTAGCAGAAACGGTTGGTGATAAAATATGGGAACCATACATCGAATACTTTCGGTGAGAAATTCCATTATTTTTCCCTTAAATTCTGTATGATACTCCGAAGTCATAATTCTTACATATTTCCATTTCTGTTTTCTTCAAGTCGATCTTCAAAGCCTACTGTTGCCATGCATTTCTCTATTGACTGATATTACATACTACTTATTTCGACAGATATAAGTAGCATACACCACATTTTTATCACTGAACTGACAAATAAGTTTTACCTACATTACTTTGATGTTTATGTTTTCAGCAAGATCCGAACTTCATTATTTCTTAATTTATAAAGTAGATTGATATCTATTAGATAATTGAGTTAATGTTGAATAGCTCTTATTCGAGTATTTCCAATCTAATGGATCTTTGATTCACAACTGATATAAATATAAACTTGAAGGTAAGCAAATATACTTCAGGATTGATACGTTGATTCTAAACTACAAGTAAGCAATTGCTATTACAATATAAATTAATGAATTTGAATTTATATTCACTTGATATTGTATACTTGAATCTTCCCATTCATATTTACGACTGTAAATTGATCAGTCTCTTATTGGTATATGTGTATCTTGTGTAGATTGCCTAGATAATACTTTCATTTACAAGCATTCACTCTGGGATGCAGATACACCAAGCTGATGAATCCCAAATAGGACGAAACACACACCCTGGTTTTCACTATTATCCACTATTCATTTTCGCTTAAAATGCTTGTAACTTAAGGCAATATTGAGGCGATCCGCACAGGTTTGTATATAAACCCAGTATGTTTGAAGTTCTTGATTCATGTCGTGGAGGCTGAGATTGGTATTCTAGACTTAACTGGCTGGAATAGGCTGGAAGCAGGATCAATAAGGATTCTATACTGCTCGTACGGGTTTTACGTCTCATTGGCCCAGTCGATAATTACATTATATTAGTATTGTTATTATTGTTATTATTAGCTTTATTCAATATTATATCTTTTGGTAGAATATAGAATTCTCAACACAAAGTACTTCAACAAGTTTCCCATTTCTTACTTCTTGGACGATCCTGATGATAACATATTGAATGATCGCTAGTTAGATATTATCAATTTAGTCAATTGACATTTAAACAATGTACAGTCTTTTCAATGCATAATAGCAGCAACCACCATATCTCTGACTGAGTTATTTTATAACTTATACAACGAAAGGTA